CAGGGTGATAAACAACTCAGGGAGCTGCCTGGTGTGTGCAGGGGCGGCCTGGCCACTCTCCTCTCTCCTCAGCCCCGGGGACCACAGTCCCTCGAACATACCCAGGGTGATGCCATTGGGCCACTGGATGTCCTCTGTCACCAGTGAGTGAATGTCCACGCCATTCAGGCCCCCCTTCTTGATCTTGGCAGGGGTCCCCCAATCCGTCCAGTACATGAAGCTGGAGGGAGAACAGTGAGAACAGACACTCAGACGTCGGCCAGGGTGGCTCCCAGCCAACACTGAAGAGCCCTAGCCAGTTTGGCTCAGTGGAGAGAGCGTCGGCCTGCAGACCCAAGGGTCCCAGGTTCAATTCCGGTCAAGAGCACAGACCGGCCGAGGCCGGTTTGGCTCAGTGGATGGAGCGTCAGCCTGCGGACTGAAGGGTCCTGGGTTCGGTTCCAGTCAGGGGCATGTGCCTGGGTTGCGGGCAGATCCCCAATAGGAGATGTGCAAGAGGCAGCTGATCAATGTTTCTCTCTCATCGATGTTTCTGGCTTTCTATCTCTCTCCCTTCCTCTCTGTGGAAAATCAATAAAATATATTAAAAAAAAAAAAGAGCACAGACCGTGGTTGCAGGCTCCTCCCCAGCCAGGGCCCTGGTCAGGGCACGTGCAGGAGGCAACCAATTGATATATTTCTCTCACATCAATATTTCTCTCTGTCTTTCCCTCTCTCTTCCACTCTCTCTAAAAACCAATGGAAAAACATCCTGAGGCAGCCAGGCCAGGGTCCCACACAGGCCCTGGGGAGACCTCAGCTTGGTTCCTTCTGCTCCCAGCCTTGCCTGCCTTACTCCAAGGCCTGCCACCTGGCAAGACCGGGCAGGATTTTAGAACCTTCAAGAAAAAGGGAGGTTCTGATTCCAGTGTCAGGGCTGCGGCCCAGGAATCTGCACTCTAAACACTACTTTCTGAGGGTTTTATAATTTTTTCATCTTTTTGAAATTTTAAATTTTTATTGTTTTGCTTTTCCAACATATATATAGGCATACCTCAGGGATATGTAAGGTTTGGTTCCAGATCACTGCAATAAAGCAGTGCTACTTTGCGAGTGGTAGGGTAAAAAGGGGTTTTATTTTTAAATTCTAAATTTCATGTGCTGACTTGAATAGCAGTTAAATAAATCCTGGCCCATCGGGGGGGACCCAGGCCTGCCCGGCCCATCTGCACCACGGGGTCTGTCCCATCGCCACGCTCACAGCCAAATGCTCCCTGACCTCTGATTACGTCTGCCCCTTGGGGCTGGCAGTGCCCCACCAGAACTGTGAGCTCCCCCAGGTGGCATGTTGTGGTGGCAGACGTGGTCGGGCAGGTACAGACCGGGTCATGCTTCCCTCCTGTCCCTGTGGGCCCTAGAGCTGCTGCGTCAGCCGTGAACCCTGTGGACACCAGCCTGGGGCCACCCAGGGGGTGACCTTCGCTCCCTGTCACGTCCTGGAAAGACCTGTCCAACGATTAACGTTGGGCCTGCGCAGTTTTACTTTTCTCCAATCCTGTCCTGGCACAAAAGACTAAATCGATTTTTATTTTCTAATTTCAAATAAGGATTAATTCCTAACACCAGGTTAGTCAGTATGAATGTCTGGTAGTGGATTCTATTCCACAGGCCAGGACTTTTCAGGGTCTGCCTGCACCACAGGTGGCACAGCGGGCGTCAGAGGGACGGATCCCACAGCCCCAAGGGCATGTGGGAAAGAACCCCCCCTTTCCACGCCCCCCCCCAGTCGAGTCTACTTCGGGCACAGACCTCCCCCATGAGTCCTAACTGGTTCTTCATGTCCGTACCCCTCAGCTTTGGGAATACCCACCCGTGACGGGGATCCACCACAATGGCCCTCGGCTTGGAGCCTTTCTCCTTGAAGAGGGTCTTTCTCTTCACGCCCTTGGTGTCGGCCACAGAGACGGTGCCCAGCATGGAGTCCGTCCAGTAGAGGTTGCCGTGGATCCAGTCCACGGCCAGCCCGTCGGGGGCCTGCAGGCCCTTGTCGATGATGGTGTCATAGGAGGAGTTGGACTCTCTGTGGATCTGGGTGCTGAGGAGGGAGGAGGAGGAGGAGTCAGTGCCCGAGGCCATGGTTTCACGCAGGGCCGGGCGGCCGGGCAGGCGGGCGTGGGCTGAGGCTCACCTGTAGATCTTCCTTTGGGACAAGTCGGACCAGTAGACTCTGCTGGCGTGCACTTCCACGTCCAGTGCGACCGCGTTCTTCAGGTTGGGGATGAGGCTGGTGTATTCGCTGCGGTCCAGCGTCATCTTCCTCACCTCGTGGCGGTTGGTGAAGAAGAGGTAGGCGATGGTGTCTGTGGAGGCACGGAGGGCGCTCAGGGGAGCGGGAGGGCCCCCAGACCTGTTTCCGGGGCCTGGCTGAGCCAGAGACGCCCAGGACATGGGGTGGACGCGCCTCCCTGATGTATTAACCACGCCGTTCTGATGCCTTGACTCTGGGGCCTTGCAGATACCGGAGGGACGGCCCCTCCCAGGCCTCGCGGTTCCTAGGCATAGTCACCCACCCGCCCCAAATGCAAACTAACCGGCCCACACCCACCACCTCCTTCACCTCCTCACACTCCCGGCCACCGTGCCCTGGCCATGGAACCAACCAGGGACAGTCCCTACACCCCAGAGCCCACGGAAATCCTTCCAGCCAGTCCTAAGCCCGGCTACCCTTCCCGAGGAAACCACGACAAAGGTTCCTGCCCAGTTCCCCGCTCCCTCTACTTCCTGGCCACCTTGGTGCCTTCCCGTGGGGCCCTGCCTGCTGCCATGTGTCTCCTCTGGGATCTGTGAGAAACAAACTAGCTTTTCAAGGGCAGCCACCTCCCGATCTGTTGGCCTCACCACAGGTGCATAATAATAAAAACTACATTTTAGAACACCGGGGCCCTGCATTCTACATTTTAGAACAGGAGGATGAAGAAATGATAAGTTAGTCTGTACAGAGTGATTCCTTAGAACAGGGAATTCTTCTTAGTGCTTTTCTTAAGTTTTCCCTCACTGATTCTCACACTCCTATAAGGCAGGTGTTATTGTCAACCCTTTTTACAGATAAAGGGGTTGAGGCCCAGAGAGGGAAAGGGTCCTGCCTCAGGTCACACAGCTCGTGAGCGACAGAGGCAGGATTTGAACCCGGGTCTCTCTGACTCTGGGGGCTGTGCTGTAATCATGACACTGATAGGCTCCAACAAACTGACCGCTTCTACAGCTGACCTCACCCAGAATATCCCTGCCCCTGGGGTGGCATCTGTACAGATACTGACCCTACACATTGGAAGGAAAGTAAAATCTCAAATCCTGGCGGATTTCGGGAATTCACCCCCCAATTTTCTCCAGAACCCGGACATGCATGGGGATGTGGCAGAGGGAGGACAGGAGGCCGACAACAGTGGGGAAGGGATGGAAGCCTAAGAGGTTCTCAGGGAAACAGAACAAGCACTAAAATATTTCTGCAAAACGGACCCTCGCTGGAACCACACTGCACGAGCAGAACATGAGGCAAAACAAAGACTGTCTGGGCGACCTTCTGGGCGATAAATCTGTCGGAACAATTACGCCTCCAAAAACATGGCCCGTGTGCAGGTGATTCTAATAATTAGTGCAGGCTTGCAGTTCTAACCTGAAGTTCAGGGAAGAAAAAAACAACTATTTCCACTATTCTGTTTCATCACGAGCTATTAGATTTTGGTCTCTTTTAAATGTATTTTTTTTTGTGGGTTTTTTTTGTGTGCAGGTATCTTTAGCTCATAAGAGCTGGAGGAGGTGCAGGCTGTTTGGGGCCATGGCTTTCTACCTCTTGCCCCCTGAAGTCTCCGGTGGGGCCTGTGGGCTGAAAACCACCCCCCAGGGGTTGAGCTGTGTCTGCTGAGAAGCCGGACACGTGAGGGCACGTTCCAGCAAGCCCGAGTCCATCTGCACGTGCTCCGTTACCTGCCAGAGGTCCCGGGAGCAAACACCCTGTCCACAGAAGTTCAGATGACGCAACATTCAGATGATGCAACTCCCCACCCGTTTGCCTTCGGGGTGGCCAGGCCAGGCCCCTCGGGCGCCTCGGACACTCACCCACAGCCTTGCAGGCCTTGGTGAAGGGGTCCAGCCGGAAGCCCTCTTCACACTTGCACTGGTAGCTGCCCACGGAGTTCACACAGAGCTGGCTGCAGGTGTCGGGGTCCTCACACTCGTCGATATCTATGAGTTGGGACAGAGAAAGAGGTTTGGGCATCTTCCCCGCAGGTAGAGTGATGGGCCCCAACACGAAGCTGTGCCCCATAATGGTAAATGGGGGACAGCCTTCTCCTCTGGGGAAGATCTCCAGGGCTGGCGTCTCAGTATCTATGAGGTTCAGAGATAAAATCTTAAAAACAGCGAAGAATCATCTCCAATGCCCTGGCCAGTATGCTCAGTGGTTAGACCATCGGCCCTCACACCGAAGGGTAGTGGGTTCGCATCCTGATCAAAGGCACGTGCCTGAGGATAGAACCCGCAACCTTGGCATATGGGCACGATGCTCTAACAAACAAAGCTACCCAGCCAGGTCTCGTTTTTAAAATGACAAATCCCAAAGCAAGAACCAAGCGTGCCTCATGGGCCATGCTAGACTCCCCATGCCTATGGCATCTTGTTAAATCCCCCTGACAGCCCTGTAAGTGGGGACTGCCCACAAACAGCTGGAAACCAAGGCAGAGGCTTGGCCACCGTCTCAGAGGAAAGGGCTGGGGAGGCCCGGAGCCCACCCCACCTGGGAATCACCTTCGCATCTTCGCTGGTCCGCCAGCCGGAAGCCCTCAGGACACAAGCACTCGTAGCCAATCTTGAGGTCTTTGCAGAGGTGGGAGCAGCCACCCTTGTTGGTTAGGCACTCGTTGGTCTCTGCGCCGGGCGGGGAACAGACGGTCACACTCAGGCCTCCAGCCCCCTCCCCAGCCCCCCTCTCTATTTCACTATCTGTATCACAATCACCCCAACGGATGTGAGGCCAGTGAGGTGCCACGACCCCTGAGAGGACGTAAAATACCATTGTCACGTGCAATGTCACAGACGGGCCTGGAGGACACTGTGCTGAGTGACATAAGCCACTCACAAAAGGACAAATCCTGTATGATCCCACCTATATGAGGTTCTTAGAGGAGTCAAATTCACAGAGACAAAGAGAAGAATGGTGGGTGCCATGGGAGGGGGCACGGTTAGAGTTTGGGAGCAGAGTTTCAGTTTGGGAAGATGAGAAAGTCCGGGAGATAAACAGTGGTGATGGCTGTACAACACTGTGAATCTGCTTAATGATACCGATTTGTACACTTAAAAATGGCTATGATAGCCTGGCTGGTGTGGCTCAGTGGTTGAGCATCAACCCATGAACTAGGAGGTCACAGTTTGATTCCTGATCAGGGTACATGCCAGGGTTGTGGGCTCGATCCCCAGTAGGGGCATGCAGAAGACAGGCGATCAAAGATTCTCATCATTAATATTTCTATCTTCCTCTCCCTTCCTCTCTCTAAAATGAATAAAAACATATTTAAAAATGGTTATGATAAATCTTATTGCTTTCTTCAACCACAATTTAAAAAATTTTTTATTGATTAAAACTGTAAACCACATACTACAGTTACATACAGAAGTGGACAAAGTAGGTTTACAGTTGTTCGTATAGAAAATGATACAATAATTAATAAATAATACAAGAATTGGTGAACTCACAACTGTAAAGCTACTTTTGCCAAACCCTATATATTAACTCATTTAATCCTCTCAACAACCCTAAAGATAGCTGGGGAAACTGAGGCATGTCCAAGTTAAATGACTTGCCCAAGATCACACTGCTGGGCTCGAACCTAAGGTGTATGGCTCCAGAATCCATGCGCTAGCTCTTAACAACAAAGCCTGCATCCCACCTGTTCAAAAACAGGCCAACAATTAAGAACAATTCCAAATTTTTAAATAGTTAAAAAGAAAAATAAGAATTGGTGTGGTCTCCCTCCCAGGAGCACACCCATGCCTTTCCCTCCCTCCCTCTTCCCCAACAGGTGGCATCTCCTAACTTCTAAGGGTCCTCACGAGACTTGCTCCCAGGGGAGCAATGCGCAGCAGGGTGACCCCCTGAACCTGAACCTGAACCTGTCTCCAAGGCCCCTTTTCTCTGACTCCCAGGGAGCTCAGGGAGCCCCGCCTCACTCACGTCTTTCCTAGAGCCAAAGCAGCCCCCGTACACTCCTCCTGTGCCTTCTTCTACTCTGAACCCTTCCTTGTTTCCCTGTCCCCGGTGCAGAGATCCAATTGCTTCTCGGCCTTTAGGCTAAGATCAAGTGAAGTTATGAGGTTCACCTGCAATGTTAATAAATGTGCTCTCAAAAATTAATCAAAATAAAAATATTTCACACCCATAAACGGTTTATGAAATTCAAATTTCAGTGTCCATATAAAATTTTCTTGGAACTTAGCCACACACATTCATGTGTGTACAAATGCATTCATGTGGCTGCTTTTCTGCTAAAATGGCCTAGTTGCCTGGTTGCAAAAGAGACTATAGCACTGGAAACATCCAGACATTCACACAGCTATGGGTCACAGAACATGGCTGAAACTTTACAAGTTCCCCATCGGCCAGTCCCCAGCAGTCCAAGGATGTGTGAGCAACTACAGTCCCATCCTACAGTTGTGAAACCTGAGACTTGCAGCAAAGCCATTTTCCCCAAGACCCCCCATCTGTCTGGCCCCAGAGCCAAAGACCTTGGGGGCACGGTGGGTTGAGCCCTGCAGCCCCACAGCGCCCGTGTCTGGGTCCCGCTTCCAGCTCCCCACGAGCTCCAAGAGCTGCCTGCCCCCCAAGGCTCACCACACTCCTTGAGGGGCTCATCGGACCAGTCCCGGCAGTCCCGGACCGAGTTGCACACTTTGTCCATGGTGATGCATTCGCCACTGTGGCACTTGAACTTGTTGGGGCCCTCGCACAGAGTCACTATGGGAGCCAAAGAAGAGGGTCAGTGCTCTGAGCTGCAGGACGCTGTTTAGTACTTTTTAATCCTATATAATAAAAGCCTAATACTGTATGCAAAACAATCCAATGGCACAACAACCGGTTGGCGGGGGGCGGGGCCAGCAAGCGGGCAGTGCCAAACCAGCCAGGGCAATAAAAAAATTTTTTTAAAAAGTTTTATTGACACACATCCCTATTCATTTACATACTGTCTATGACTATTTTCTAGCAACGACAGCAGAATTGAGTGCAGAGACTGTGGTCCATAAAATATTTACCAACTGGCCTTTTATGGTACAGGTTTGCAGAGCCCAGGCCTAGATTATAACACGCCCTTCTCCATCCTACCCTGCTATCCTCTGCTATACCCGCAGAGGTAACAATGATCCTGAACTTTAGGTTTACCATTCTCTTATGTTTTTCATTAATAGTTTTATCAACATGTAGGAAGGAACACTATATTATTGAATTTTGCTTGTTTTCGAGTCTGGTAAAATAACTGTATTCAGTAATCACCTGCAACTTGCTTCTTGCTGAAGTTATGAGGTTCAATTGCTTCTCGGCCTTTCGGCGAAGATCAAGTGAAGTTATGAGGTTCACCTGCAGCCTGAGAGCCCTGGCCTGGTTTCTGAGCTGTGTGCGTGATAGTCCACTGCGTGACCACATCGCCATTTTAACATTATTTTCATACACCCGCGTTCATAGCAGCATTAGTCACAATTCCCAAAGATGGAAGCAACCCAAGTGTCCGTCAGCTGATAACTGGGCAAACATAACGTGGTCCATCCATGCAATGGAGTATTACTGCCTTAAAAAGGAGGGCAATTCTAACACCGGCTACAATGTGGGTGAATCTGGAGGGTATTATGCTCATGAAATAAGCTAGATACAAAAGGACAAACACTGCATGATTTCACTTATATCCTGGAGCAGTAACATTCATAGAGACAGAAAGTGGGGGCTGGGGAGAGGGGATGGGGAGTGAGTGTGTAATAGGGGCAGAGTTTCAGTTTGGGAAGACCAAGTTCTGGAGATGGATGGTGGTGAAGGCTGCATAACAATCTGAATGTAGTGAATGCCACAGAACTGGACACTTAAAAATGGTTAAAATAGCCCTAGCTGGTTTGGCTCAGTGGATAGAGCATCGGCCTGCGGACTTGAGGGGTCCTGGGTTCGACTCTGGTCAAGGGCACATGCCTGGGTTGCAGGCTCCATCCCCAGTAGGGGGTGTGCAGGAGGTAGCCAATCTATGATTCTCTCTCACCATTGACATTTCTGTCTCTCTCTCCCTCTCCCTTCCTCTCTGAAATAAATAAAAATATATTTTAAAATAAAAATAAGTCCTGCTTGAAGGACTTCCTTTAAAAAAATGGTTAAAATTGTAAATTTCATGTTGTAGGTAATTTACCACAATTTTTAAAAAGGTAGTACATTATCAAACTTTAACTCTTTATTCACGAAATTGTTTCAGTCTCTAAATAACATAATACTTTTTTTTTTTAATCCTCCAGCCTGGAAATGAATCTGCAACCCAGGCACATGCCCTTGACCGGGAACCGAACCCGAGACCCTTTGGTGTGTGGGCTACACTCTAACCACTGAACAAAATGGCCAGGGCCATAAGAAAAATGTAATAAGCAGTATCCTGGCCCTGGCTGAGTAGTTCAGTTGATATCATTAGAGCATCATTCCAAAATGCACAGTTTCAGGTTCCATCCCTTGTCAGGGCACATACAAGAAACAACTAATGAATGTGTGTAAGTGGAACAACAAATCGATGTTTCTCTCTCTCCCCCTCCCTTTCTCTTTCTCTTCCTCTCTAAAAATCAATCAATAAAAAATAAATAAAAATTATCTTTTAAAAAAGCAATATCCTTACGTTATGTGTATTTTATCACAATTAAAATTTTAAGCCCTAACTGGTTTGGCTCAGTGGATAGAGCATCGGCCTTCGGACTCAAGGGTCCCAGGTTCGATTCCGGTCAAGGGCATGTACCTTGGTTGCAGGTACATCCCCAGTGGGGAGTGTGCAGGAGGCAGCTGATCAATGTTTCTCTCTCATCGATGTTTCTAACTGTCTATCTCTCTCCCTTCTTCTCTGTAAAAAATCAATAAATTATATTTTTTTAAATTTTTTTAAGTTAATTCTATTGCTGATGAACATTTGGGCGGCTTTCAGGGTTTTGCTATCAGCACAGTGCTTCTCTGACCTTCCAGAGCCGAGCTCCTAGTGGAATTGCTGTGTGTAAATTCAGGAAAGTCTTTCACATGGAGTTGTATTTTGTATATAACTCTGAGCTCAAAGATACGGGCTTTGTACACTCTGACCTCATTAAGTCTCACAGTGCTGAAGTAGGTGCTTTCACTATGCACATTTTTTCAGAGAGGGGTCAAGTAACTTGCTGAAGGACGCACAGCTGGTGGGGGGCTGACCTGGGAGCCCCTGCCCTGCTCTGGGATCCACCCTGCTTGTACCCCCGTATTCTGCCACGGTTTAGGGCTGTCAAGGCACGGAGCTCACCATTGATGCAGCCAAGCTCGTCACTCATGTCCTTACAGTCATGCTCCCTGTCACACTGCTGGCTGCCGTGGATGCAGGTCCCGTCAAAGCACTGGAACTCGTCAGGCCGGCACGTGGCCATAGCTAGGAAAGACAGAGCACGCGTTGATTTTTCTCAAGGAGAGGCGGAGGGACAAGACTCCCCGTCACTGAAGAAGCAGTTTTCCGACAGCCTCACAGGAGTCGGCTGCCCTGGGCCTTGGGGACAGCATGCAAATGGATGACAAAAAAGAAAAGAGGCGGCCTTCCTTCCCAACATAGGAGAAAACTCCCCAGGTGCATCTATTTTTGTATTCGCAAATGTAACCAATGTAGATTTTAGACCAGTGGTTGTCAGCCTTCCTTAATGCCGCGACCCTTTAATGCAGTTCCTCAATTTGTGGTGACCCCCAATAATTGTTATAAATTGAACATAATTAAAGCATAGTGATTCATCACAAAACAGTATGTAATTATATATGTGTTTTCCAATACTCTTGGGCGACCCCTGTGAAAGGGTCGTTTGACCCCCAAAGGGGTCGTGACTCACAGGTTAAGAACCGCTGTTTTAGACGATTTCTTTTCTTTTATGGCAAAAAGTACTTTTTTCCTTCATGAAGAAGAATCATGAAAAATTATTACTGAAGTAACAAAGCCAAGTTTGGAAAATTGCAAAGGAGAGGAAAGCACCCAGAACCCAAATATCCCACCACAGCCATCAAGGTTTTCCTAGACTTCTCTCTAGTTTTGCTTCACATGCTTTTAAAATTTTTTTTATTTATTTATTTTTTTTTTTATTTTTTATTTTTTTAAATATATTCCATTGACTTTTCACAGAGAGGAGGATAGAGATTGCAGACCCACGCTCCATCCACTGAGCCAAACTGGTTAGGGCTTCACATGCTTTTTTAGATCACATAATCCATTAAAAAACTATACACCTGCCCGGCCAGTGTGGCTCAGTGGTTGAGCATTGACCTGTGAACCAGGAGGTCACAGTTTGATTCCCGTCAGGGCACATGACTGAGTTGATTTCTCAATCGCCAGTAGGGGGCCTATCTTGCATTATTGTTTATTAATTATTGTATTAGTTCCCATAAGAACAACTTCAAACATACTTTTGCACACCCTGTATTTAGTGGATCATCTAGTGATTATACAGTAACAGTTTTAGAAACAGAAACCATAACAACTATTATGATGACAGAATTAAAACCAAATATAGCTCTAATGTCAATGAATAAAAGTGAGATTAATACTACTTAAGAGAAAAGACAAACTGAACCACAAAGTGAAATCTAACTTTGAAACTTAACAACTCATCTAAAGGAAATATCTCAAAAACGTTGAAAATATAAAGATGGTTAAAGGCATCCTAGAAAAACATGGTCAGAAAGAAATAGTTGCTGGGATAGTAATTACACAAGATTAAATTCAGAGTACAAAAGGAAGGAAGGAAGGGAGGAAGGGAGGAAGGAAGGAAGGAAGGAAGGGAGGAAGGGAGGAAGGGAGGGAAGGAAAGAAAGGAGGGAGGGAAGGAGGGAGGGAGGAAAGAAGGAAAGAAAGAAAGAAAATAGCCATGGCTGGTTTGGTTCAATGAATAGAGCATTGATTCTGGTCAAGGGCACATGCTGGGTTGTGGACTTAATCCCCAGCGGGGGGGGCGTGCGGAAAGCAGCCAATCAATGATTCTCTCTCCTCATTGATGTTTCTATCTCTCTCTCTCCCTCTCCCTTCCTCTCTGAAATCAATAAAAAATATTTTAAACAAAAGAAAAGAAAACTATAAATCCAAGGAGCCATTCTCAGCAGAAAAAACAATGATATGGTCCCAATCTAGACAGAGACAGGCCAAGTAAATCATGATAAATCAGATCAATACCACCGAGTATAATGCAGTTGTTCAAATGACTGAGACTACAAATATATGAAATATTGATGACATGACACCATGTGATAAGAGACATTACGATTAAAACTCAGAGGATGCACATGGTGACTGGAATAGGGTACTGCCAGCCATGGTCCAGACCTTGACCTCACACAGGACTTGCTTTATGCTAAGTCATTAAGCTATTTGTTCTTTTATGCACTTTCCTTTGGGCTGTATTTCACAATAAAAATGTCTACAATTTATAATTTTGATGTCAGGATGTGAGTGAGAAGAGATAATAAATCTGTGAGCAGAATGGAACCCCTTCCACCTTTAAAATAATATGTCTAAATTTTTAGCACTCTGTATGTTCAAGTGGACACTTGCTCTGCTGTGATATGTAAAAAGGGGAATGATCCTATTTTGAACCCATATGTATATCTTTGCATCAGAGAAAAAACAACCACCACCAAAGGTAACTTTAGCAAAGCCTAAACTCTGATGACAGTTAAAATGAAAGGAGGATGGGATTTTTCATTTTCTCAAGTATGTGTTTTCTCAGAAAATTATTCGGCCTTTCTGTGCCTCGGTTTCCCCATCTGTAAAGGGATGGGGATTAAATGAGCTTGCGTTAAGTTTTAGAACAGACCACGTACAACATCATGCATTGTTTTTAAAACGTGACTTCCAAAGGTCCAATTACATCTTATTGGCGAGTACAACTCGATGGAAACTGACACCGAAAAAGGGAAAGACCTCCTGGATTCACAGTGACTCCACATGCCAGCCTCGAAACAGCGGCCTGTGGGTTCCAGGGGCACTGACACAGGGCCAGAGCCCTGGTCTGCACTGTCTCCAGCAAGGAATTCTGTTCTCCGGTCGCACTAGGCGCGTTGGCTAGAGGCGACTGCCCTGGGCAGTGCGGACACAGGACGCCTCCACCATCACAGAACGTGCGACCGGGCGGCGCTGGACTCTGACCCGGCCGCCAAGGCCAACGCTATTGCCCCATCCCACCCGGGAGGACGCCACGGGGCAGTGAGGGGGCGTCCTTGGCCGAGGGTCACTCCGCTCCACGCCCCCAGCCAGGCCTGGAGCCCAGGATTCTTTCTGAACCGAAACAATCCTGCCGCGGTGGCTTCCTCCCCTCTCAGAAAAGAGGTTAATGAAATAGACAAGTGATTTGAGGTCGTGTAACGGTTGAAAGCGCGGGGCCGGGGGCGGGGAGGGCGCCCTCACCGCAGTTCTCCTCGTCGGACTTGTCCTTGCAGTCAGCGCTGCCGTCGCAGCGCCAGCTCCGGTGCACGCACTCGCCGCTGCGGCTGCAGTGGAACTCGCTGGCCAAGCAGGGCTCGTCCCCGCGCG